TTCTTCCTTCCTTCCTTATTTCGACTTCGTTATCGTAGCGCTAGTCGCACATTTTTGTTTCTACGACTCAATACTACGTTTACTGTCAATTACAAATACGCTTGTTTTTTTACTAGACGAATACCTTCCTTACGGCCTTACAAAGGAATTCGACAAAAAAAAGACTCTGAAAATGAAGTTCACAAACGCTGTCGTTGCCTTCAACGTCGCCGCGCTGACCAACGCGCTGGCCATCTCCCCACGTCAGAACAACTTGCAAACCTTCACGGGCGCTATCGGCGGTGCAGCGGCTACTCCCGTCCTGAACTCCGGGAATGCCAACCGTCCATTTAGCGTCGGAGGCGATACATTTGTGAATGCCGCGGCTGCACTACAGCGATCTTGCGACCAGCAGTTCAACGCTTGTGCCAACTTGGCGAATGGTGGTGATGCAACTGTTTCAGTAGCACAGTGCACGACACAGAAGAGTAAGTTGGGAGCGTAGAGCGGAATTGAGGTGATGATTTTTATACTAATGGTTTGTAGATCAATGTTCGGCACAGGCTACTGCGGGCGCAGCTCAGGCACAGGGCGCGGCTCAAGCTGGAGCCCAGAACAACAATGCTCAAAACAACAATGCCCAGAACAACAATGCTCAGAACAACAATGCCCAGAACAATAATGCTCAGAACGCTGCTGCTGGTAATGCTGCCACTGGCAACGCTGCCACTGGTAACGCTGCTACAGGTAACGCTGCTACAGGTAATGCTGCCACTGGTAATGCTGCTACAGGTGAAGCTGCTCAAGGTCAAGGCCAAGGTCAAGGCCAAGGTCGAGGTCAAGGCCGGGGTCAAGGCCAAGCCCAAGCTGGAGCTGGAGCTGGAGCAGCGAACGGCGCTCAGAACAACAACGCTGCCCAGAACAACAACGCTGCTCAAAACAACGCGGCTTGCAATGGAGCCCAAGCTGGAGCCGCTGCTGGTGCTGATGCTGGTGCTGGAGCTGCGAACGGTGCCCAGAACGGTGCTGAAGGCCGGGGTCAGGGCCAGCAGGCTCAGGCTCAGGACCGGAAGACCCGCAGGGCTTAGAAGAGTAACAGGACTGAGAAGATGGACAAAGTCGACACCTCTCGTGAGCAAGAACTCTGCTTTGAAAGCAACTGTACAACAAGATGCAGTGCTGGTCACGCTGCCATCCGATGATGGAGACGGGGAAAAGGCCCGGTGCCTCAATAGACAAAATATCACATATGCAATCTGTAGACTGCATGTGAAGCAATTTACGATGTTCCAATCACGATCAGTAATCTTGACACCTCATCTCTCTCTACCGTGATGCTGTGTTTGCGTGAATCTCCTTCTCTTGCTCCGCTGTATCCGTCCCTGTGCTTTGTTTCTTCGGTATGTTCTTCAAACACGGCGCGTAGAATAGATGGCCAGTCCAAGCGCCTCTGACTGTTCCGACAAAGACGATGCACCAGAGAATGATTACAGATATTGAGAAAATCGTCCCTAGGACCCGGAAGAACATGCTCGGAATGATGTGACCAAGTTCAATGGTGCTGAGTGCGAAAACTCCCAGAGGAAATGTGAAACCCCACCATCCCATGGAGAATGGGATCGGACGAGACTTGTATATGGATGCCAGAGCAAAACACAACCACGTCAGTCCAAAAGACCACATGATGAGTGCTGTGAATATGCCAATGACGAAAAAGACGTCCCCTGCAATCGGTATATCGGAGAAGGATCCAGTCTGCGGAAAGATACGACGACATGCAGATCCAAGGCGTACAACAGCATAACCACCCAGCCCCAACGGACCAAGCGGCAAGAAAGACGACACGATAATCTCGCGAGGCGGCAGTTTATGCAACGCCAAACGAGTATAATACATGACAATAACCGTCAGAGACAGCGGCACAGACATACCCCACATAATATACGAAGCCAGTATCGTCCCAAGCACATGCTCGGGATTAATCAAGTGCTCTGCGACTCTCGCGCCCGCCCCAGACGCAACCACCGACGCGGAGATAGGCAGCAGCTGAGCCGCAGTAATCTTATCCAGCGCCTGTCTCCTCGACGCCGAAATCAGCAGCACCGTCAGCGAAATCGTAACCGCGACCGCGACCGCGGCATCCAGCATCCAGCACACCCACGCAAACGTGACTGCCCAGGACCCCCAGTACGGGATGCACAGCGAGCACCACGCTGAAATGAGCGTGGAAAAGCCCATGGGGACCGTGCCGAGGAAGAGCGAGTTGGCGCTGTCGGCGATCATGACGGGCCAGATCTCTGGGTAGGCGACGTATCGGAAGATGGAGATGAGTAAGGCGCAGGCGAAGAGGAGGGTGTTGAGGCCGAAGAAGAAGACGGAGAGCCAGTAGAGCCAGGGTGCTTGGAAGGGGATGGAGATGAAGAGGAGGGAGACTACGCCTGTGCCGGTTGTGACGGAGAACCAGGAGGGAGAGAAGTTGCGGACGATGCGACGCCAGCCGACCTAGTTGTTGCGAAAGAAAAAAAAGACATGTTAGTTTAAGAACTGGAGATGGTGGTGGGTGTATTTTACATCGTATTTCGATGGATATTCATCTTCTTCTTCTGGTATAACATCATCATTGGAGCCAGACGGCGCATTCGTTGCTCGAGAATTCCTCGATTTGGAGCGCTGCACGGCTATGCCTTGGGACGTCGGCGGGCATAGCGCTGGATTATTCGTTCCTACGCGATCCAACTCGTATTCATCCATTCTTATTTAATCCTCCGCCAAATAAAAATTCCCTCCTCTTTCAATTCTAACAGCCGTGCAAAAAAATTCGCGCTTCCCAGTTCATATTCTTTTTAAAAACTTTTGAAGCGAGGGAATAGAGAGAGAGAGAGAGAGAGATTTCTTTAATGTATGACGAAAGTTCCGGTTGGGGAGGGGAGGAGGGGGCACGTGCGGAGCCGTTTCCACCCGGGGCAGCGAGCGAGTGAGAGAGAGAAGAATCTCACAAATGATGGTCGATTCGAGATCCAATCACGTGGCGAGCACGGACCGATTGGTTTCACAAGATTGGACTTACTTCTCGGATTTCCCATCAGGACAAGGCGACATTTTCCCCTTCTTCCGATCTTTCCCTTCCCCTCCCCCCTACGTAACTCTTTACTTGCGCCTCTTTGCACTAGGGCCATTATCACATTACCAAACGATTTGGGGGAGAGAGAGAAAATAGGGAAAAAGGTGTCCCGGCCCTGGCTTTCGTCCCTTTCTTGCCACCGTAGCCCTGTTTGTTCCTTCCTTCTTACTTTACTATCTTGGGAGCCGCATGTTTTTTGGGGTGTTCGGGTTGGTTTGTTGCTTCATACTACATCAACCTTCATTTGGGCTGTTTGCTGTTCCATTCCCTCTCTCTTTTTTTAGGCCTTTTGTTTGGTTTTGCCCACCCGCCGGTAAATAAGGTCCCAACAAAGGTCGTTGTCCCTTTGCTTGCGCCGGCCTTACTTTTTTGCCCAACTTATCTGTGGGAACCGCCGCGCCCGCGTGCCCCCAGGACCCTGAAGGGTTGATTGTTCAAATCGGGGGATGGGAAGCGGCCTAGTCGGAGAGAGACCAGATTATCAGTCCATCTGATTGTTCTTTTTTTCCCCACGCGCAACGCGCGCGCACGCGCGGAAAAAAGAGACAGCAATGCCCGGGTTTTTGGATCTGCCGCTGGAGCTTCGCAACCATGTTTACGAGATGCTGCTTGGGGAAGAGCTAGAGCCTTGTTTCCGCGGGGTAATGGTCGTGTCTGAACACTACGTGCGCAACGACTTGCCGCTTCGATGTTACCGGGGGCTCTTGCGCGTGTGCCGGCAGACGTATCGCGAGTTCAAGCAAGCAATACAGCATCAGGTTGCGTCGAAGCGGCTGAGATACGAATTGGATATTACGTTTTCACATGGCCGCCCTTACTTTTCTCTGACGTGGATACACTTCGCCGCCCTCTCGCCCACGATTAACCAGTTGTGCATTAATGTCGACTTGCGCACGCGCGAGCCGCTGCGAGACGGGCCCCGAGAGTCGTTTGTGCCCCACGAACATGAGCTGGCCCATTTGCTCGAACACTCGCCCACCTGTTTTGCAAAGCAACTCTTCGACTACATTGCTATTTTCCTAAAGACGCTTGCCAATCTACTCTTCCAGGGAGACCCCCACTTCAGCGTCCTCTACACTGAATCCATGACGCTGAACCTGCGCACTCCGACCAAAGTCGTCGCCCTCGGAGGCAGTGGCCACAATCCCATTGCGCTGTCGCGCCGCCTCCGTGTCGATCAGACCGAAGCTCGCAAGCTCCACGATACCATGCGCGACACGCTGCGTGCGACATCGAAGCATTTCCAGGCCTTCAACGCAAACGAGTGTGACCGTCTTTTCCCCCTCATACAGATTGGTTGTTTGCGTTTTGCTACTGAAGGTGAAGTCTGGGGCGAAGGCCACAATCTAGTCCTCGCACATGACGATTTCCAGTGGTTAAGGTACTAGGAGTCCCTTTTTTTTACGTTGTGCGTTGAATGATATGAATTATGATTTGGATAATTGACAGTATATATATCTATAGATGGGAGGAGTTTTCTTTGTGCGTGAAAATGCGGGGTGTGTTCCTCTTTATTTTGAATGGCGTAGAGGAATTTTATACAGATTGTGTGTTTTCTTCTTCTTTTTCTTTCCTACGTACATGGGCGTTTTCACTGCTGTTGGGTGGTATATCCTGCCTTTACAGTACACAGAGTCGTCTTTTTCACATCTCAAGCTCCCAGCTTGGACAATAAAGGCAATGTCTTGACTTTCAATTTTCCACCATGGCGTTTTGACTACAAATTTTCCATTCTCGAAAAGTAAAAGCGAATAGATATCTTGGTGACTTTGTCCCCATGTCCTCTTTTTGAACGAATTTACACAAACTCCTCTAGATAATGTAAATAACAGTTCCTAATTAACCAAGAAATAGCCCTGAACGCCAGAAAATGCTACGCATATACCAGCATTCCAAATCCTTAATCGCTAAACCCCTCAAACTCATCTCCTTCATCCTGTGCCTCCTTCTCTGCCACCCTTTTTCTCACCTGGGCAATCATGCCCTTCAGCCTCTCATCCTCCTTGCGCTCCTCCTCCGTCATAGCAGCCACACGCTCATGCTCGCGCTTCGCCGTCTTCTTCTCCCTCCTCAACTCCTTGAGCGCCTTCAAATCCTTTTGGTGCGTCCAAGCTGCCGCCTTCTTATCTTCCGGAACATATTTCTTCTTCTTGCCCTCAGCCTTGGTCGCTTCGTATTCGGCCTGCTCGGTCTGGCGTTGCTGTTCACGGGCTTTGTCTTTGTATGCGTAAGTGGCAAAATCAATGGTGACGCCGAGGCTGCGGTCGCCGTCCCATTTTTTGAGCTCGGGCATGCTGGGGAGCTTGAGGAGGCCCCATGAGTGGCCTTGTTCGGTCCAGTCGAGGTCGGGGATGCGGAATATGGAGCTGGCCGTGTGTTTACTGTATGCGCGGACCCAGGAGACGAAACCGCGTTGGGCTTTGTCGAATAGTGCTCGGTCGGATTTAACTACTTTTCTTATCTTGTTGCTGATTGCATGTGCTTCTTCTTCTGAGATTTCGATTTTTGGGGTGGTCAGAGGTGATATTGGTGTTTGTCGGACTCGGAGAAACTCGACGTAATCTTCTTCGCGGCCTGGGTTGAGAAAGGTTACAGCCAACCCCTTCCGGCCAGCTCGACCGGCACGACCGCATCGATGGATGAAGGTCTTGGGGTCACTTGGTGCGTCAAGTTGCAGGACTAGATCGACTGAAGGTATGTCGAGACCTCGAGCTGCAACATCGGTAGTTAAGAGAATGCTTGGTGTCATGCTATCAACAAACTTGTTGAAGTTTCTACGGCGAACCTTGTCGGGATGCTTGCCATGCATAGGAACAATGGTATACCCCTTGAGGACCTCTGGTAGGATGTGCTGGAAATAATCGACGGAATAACATGTCGCCAAGTACATGATCGACTTTTGAGGCTGTGGCTGCAAGGACGCCAGTAGTTTCTTGATGGCTGGAAGTTTGTGGGACGCGGGCATGACAAGGTATGACATTTGCAAACTCGCAGGTGTCCTCTTGTCCTCTATCGCGCCAGCCTCGCCTGCCGCACTGTTGGCGGCTCGGGCCTTGACCTTGACGGCGATACGGACTGGATTTCGGAGGCCGACGCGAATGAGCTGGTCGACTGCCTCACTGACACTTGCGCTGAAGAGGCCAGTTCGGCGCTGCTTGGGTAGACGAGAAAGAATCTTCTGTAAGTCATCTTTGAAGCCAAGATCCAGAAGTCGATCGGCTTCATCAAGTACAAGAGCATCAAAAGACGACTGTGAGCAGTGAACGTGCGGTGAGGAGAGGAGTTCGAGAAGGCGACCAGGGGTACCGATGAGAACGTTGGTTGATGACTTCAAGAATCTGCTGAGATCTTGTGCTGGCGTAACTGAGCCACCCAGGAGCAGCTGAGGAACAACTCTCAGGGTTCCTGGTGGAAAAGTTGGCTTTGGTGGAGCGTCAGCATCTTCCATGTCGGTATCTTCATCTTCCGGGTCCAACAGGGCTGCCGAGGGGGCGTGAAATCTAAGAAGGGAAGCTAGAACTGTGTAAATTTGTGTTGCGAGTTCTCTGGTTGGCGATATGATTATGGCGCCCACGTGATGCTTCTTTATGGGCGCATCCAGTCGCAGCAACCGCTCGACAATAGGTATAAGAAAACTAGATGTGTGTTAGCATATGTGTATTATGAAGATGTATGGGCATTACGCTAGGGTTTTTCCACTTCCGGTGACGGCCTCGACTACGACATCCGAGTTCTTCATGAACATGGGAATGGCCGCGTGTTGCACCGGCGTGGTTTTCACAAAGCCCATAGAATCGACCGCCTCAAGAATCCATTCCGATAGGGCTGGGGTAAGAGCGCCAAAAGAGCGATCCATCTTCGCCTGAGGCGCCATGGCGGAGTTTATGTTTGCAAAAAGGGCTTTTGGTGTGGTTGGCAGAGTCGCCATGATGGTTCAAAAAAAGTTATGATTCGCGCACGGACCATACAAGGCTCGCTGGCGGCAATCATAATAAGGTTGAGCCCAGCCAGGCGTGATCGGGGAACATCATTCAATCAGTCGCTACGTAGCAAGGCCGGAGAAAGTTTAACTTGTATTCCTGTAATTAGTCGTCGCATCAATTAATCTATGCTTGTTGGGGAAAAAATATTGATATTTTCAAGACGTCAACATGACACTGTTAAAAGAGAGAACCGTGCGCAAGAGATAGTTATGCCACAACACCATGTAAGATTTTGGAAATAGTTGTATAGGATGTAGTATAAGAGATCGCGTATGTTCTGTCGCATGTAGTTGAGGACAAGCATCTTTTATTCTACGAGATTCCGGGATTGTTCATGTGCGATTGTCCGAATGCCATCGCCAAGACGGCTCCACGCCACGCTGATGTCTGGCACATGCGCGAACCAGTTTCTACGTTGGTAGCCCTGCAGACCAAATTTGCCAATTTCATGCCGCAAGGTTGCTGCTTCGCCGTCGCTGCTGCCGTTGGTCCCTCGCATCCCCTGTTCACCCGCCCCAAGCACGTAATTAAGACGACCGTCGTTGTCGCCGACAAAAATTGTGGCCTCTCCCGTCGCCTTGGGCCATGGGGGCTGCCCGGACGAATCCACGGCGGGCTGTGAGTGTGATGTGATAGCCAAATCTGACATCAATGGCGAGACCGGCGTACTAAAGGCCACCCTCCCGCATGACAGCTGTGACACGCATACTCAGCCTCGTCCCCTCTGCCCGGAATCTTCAGGCCCGCGTTCCTTGCTTGTCCACCTCGCTTTGCTCTGTTCCACGGCCCGCTCCACCCTCTCCGGCGTCATCCGCACTCCTGCTTTTCCTTATTTTCCTGTCTGCTGGCGTGTCGCCATGGAATCGTCGCGCCAGTATCAAGTCCCCCACACGCCGCGCGTGATATCGCCCTCGCCTACGCCCTCGGAGGCTGGCAGTACAAGAGATGGCTACTTTGGGCCTGTAACGCGCTCAGCAACACGCAAACAACGGGTTACGTCACCACCGCCAATCGATGAAGACTCGTCTGGCTCCGACCCCGACCAGAGGGCGCGAACTCGAAGCCGGAGTCCGGCGGTTGCAAAAATCGCAGGAAGGCGGCGAATGAGCGCCCTGGCGAGCCGACGACAGATGAATGGAGTCGGCCAGAAGGAACTCTCATTGCCTGGCGACACAGCAAATGGTCATTTATCGCCGGCAGCAGCCAACAAAAACTACTGGCGAGAGATGAGCCGAAGCCCGAGTCCTCTGGGCCTTATTCCTATCCATCAGAAATGGCGATCATTTGTGAGTTTCACATGCCATTTTTTTCCAGACCCCTCCTAACATCCATAGATTCATCGACATGAGATACCCCGCAAGATTCTTCACGTTTCCATCGGCTTCCTGACTATCTTCCTATACTGTACCGGAACGCAAACGTCGCAAATCCACAATGTGCTTCTTACATTGCTGGTTCCTATTGCCCTCACTGACGTCATCCGCCACCGCTACTGGCAAGTAAACCGCCTCTACATCCGCTTCCTGGGCGCGTTGATGCGCGAATCCGAAGTAGATGGATACAACGGTGTCATTTCATACCTTCTCGGCGCATGGATTGTGATGCGTTTCTGTCCTAAGGACATTGCGGTGATGAGCATCTTGCTCCTGAGCTGGTGCGACACTGCAGCTTCGACTTTTGGCAGACTATGGGGCCATCTGACGCCGAAGGTGAGGAAGGGCAAGAGTCTTGCGGGATCCATCGCAGCATGTGTGACTGGTGTCATTACAGCCGCGGTGTGGTGGGGTTGGCTCGGTCCCACGTTCTCAGAGTACAACCATGGCGAGCACGCGTTCGCATTTCAGGGCGCCCTCACATTGCCCCTGCAAGCACGAGAACAACTCAACCTATCTGTAAGCCAGGCTTCGGTTACAGGCCACGTGGCTTTGGGTGTCATGTCCCTGGCAGCTGGCATCATTGCCAGTACCAGTGAAGCCATAGACGTTTTTGGGTGGGACGACAACCTCACCATCCCTGTGCTCTGCGGCGCTGGTCTCTGGGGGTTTGTCAAGATGTTTGGATGAAGCCGGCTTGTATGATGCGACGACACACGTTTCTTCTTCTCTGCTCTTGTAATATCACCCTGCGTTACTTTGGATGGAATCGATACCCTAGACACACAGCCCTCTGGTAATGGCATGGATGCAATGGTTTGGACGGCGTTGAGGAATGTACTGTATGTAGGAAATGGACAGAGGTAATATGAAACCAATGCATGGACATGGGCAAAGACATGTATGATGCAGCCACTGAGCTGCTTTTGTGCAATGGCGCTATGGGAGGCTTATCGAGTTTCAAGCCGAGGTCCAAGAAATGTCGTGTCGACTGAATATCGAGTGCCCAATATAGCGCATCTTCACGCCCCCGAGAACAAACAGCGATGATGAGCCCGTTTGACATGCATCGCAGACGCAAAAGGGGAAGCCTGGATACCGTAAAGGAGCCTTGCCATGGGCGATTCGGCTTGGCGCATGCCGCCACATGCAACGCGGCGATTGGGGGTCAGTCGGTCATGTCAACAGCCTTTATTCTTTATAGGCCTGCCACCGCCAGGTTGGCCGGTCCAAGAGTCTGACGGGCAGAGAAACAGATGAGTTGCCATGGCGGTCGCTGACAAGGCATATTACTGATTGCTCAGACTGATTGTCCACGCCAAATGCCCTTCTGCTCACCTGTCGGCAATCTGACTTCTGCCTCTAGTATTGCCCCGCCATCGTAGTCGGGTACCCACCACAACGCATCTCCACACCACACCCTGCGCCCAAACGCGCCTCTGGACCCTCTCCCAAGCTCCATCTGCTGGCGACTGCCGCTCTTGGCTTGGTTCCTACTGCACGTCATCTGCGCCGTTTCTGACCCTCTCCCAACTCGACCTTTTTCGTTTGCGCCCGCTGTCCTTTGGTCCTACTCTGCTTCGCCTTTGCACCCCACACGCCTGTACACAACCACCCTTCACCATGGCTTCGTCTTCGGCAGCAGCAGGCCTGTTGTCTCGCCAGCTCAAGCAGATGCAAAATGACAAGAGCATATCGGGCATCAGCTGCGGATTAGTCGACAACAACGTGTTTGAGTGGGAGGTGATGCTCATGATTGACGACGACACAAAGTTTTACGGAGGTGCGACCACTACTACGCCTTCAACGCGACCACATGCTTACACGCCACACAGGAGGTTTCTTCCGCGCCCGTCTCACCTTTCCCACCGAATATCCCCTGTTGCCACCTAAGATGCGCTTCGAGACCCCCATCTTCCACCCCAACAGTGAGTTCCCCATACATCTTCTCCTCTACTTCCTTAACTAACACACGCTACAGTCTACCCGAACGGCGACGTCTGTATTTCGATCCTGCACCCCCCAGAAGAAGATAAGTACGGCTACGAATCCGCCGCCGAGCGCTGGTCACCCGTCCAAACTCCCGAAACCATTCTTCTTTCTGTCATATCCATGCTCTCCAGTCCCAACGACGAGTCGCCTGCAAACGTTGAGGCTGCCAGCCTGTGGCGAGACAACACACCCGAGTTTAAGAAGCGCGTAAGAAAGTGTGTGAGGGATAGCTTGGAGTTTGAATGAAACGCAGCGGTGCAACTTGGGCTAGGCAAAACGTGATCATGACAAACAAGCATAAGCGCGGTGGATGTATCTTTGATTAGGGCGAATTTACTGGTTCATGGCGTGCTCGGCGTCATACATGAATATTCTTTTGAGAGTTTGGTGGATGCATCGTATGTCGAGAATCAACATGGTACCTGTATACCAAGATTTTGTGCATGTTTACTTTGCAACATAAGTGATGATATGTTTGAAAAAAAAAACATGTCAACTAGATTCTTTGGAGACGAGTTGGTTGTGAAGACCAGGTCAAAAAAGCATCACGTCACTTTCTGCAAAACACAGTACTAATCAAAAACCCAGAAAAATATATAATATGTGTATATCCCGTAATTCCCATATCCCTAAAACCCTTATTACCATCTCCCCTTTCGTATACATACCCTATTTCTCATCCCAAAGTAAATCCTCCAAAGTTAACAAAAGAAGAAGTAGAAAAAAATTAGTGTACAAGCCCCCCCCCACGCGACCGCCATATCATCTTTACCCCACGCTTTTTCAACCCCGACAGGAAGAAAAGGTCGCCCATATCTAGATGACGCCGAGCCCAAGCAGCAAAAGCGCCGTGCAAATCAACCCATCACCACCGAGGTTGCCCAGGCCGCCAAGCGGCAAAATGCAGCATTGGGCTGAGAGACCGTTTTGGGCGCATTGGGCGTTGAAGGCGTCGGGAGTGGCGACGGCACCGGCTGTGGTCATGTTAGTATCGTGTACTATTTGTATTTTGAGGGGTTTCGGGTGTGGGGAGATGGAACTTACCACTAGCACAGTTGGATACACCGAGTAAACCGGTTTGGCAGCAGAGGGGAGATGAGGAACCGCAGATGCCGCCTTGGCCGTGACCGTGACCGTGTTGACCGCCGTGTTGACCGCCGTGTTGGCCTTGTCCTCCTTGCTGTCCGCCTTGCTGGCCTCCTGGCTGACCATATGAATCTTCTTCGCCGCCTTGCTGGCCCCCTGGCTGACCATATGAATCTTCTTCGCCGCCCTGCTGGCCTCCTTCTTGCTGGCCACCACCTTGTTGGCCTCCTTGCTGGCCATAATATAAACCTCCTTCTCCTTGCTGGCCACCTTGGCCTCCTTCGCCGCCGCCCTCGCCTCCGCCCTCGCCTCCGCCCTCGCCGCCGCCTTCACCTCCTCCGATGCCGCCGAGGAGACCGCCGCCGAGTTGGGGTTGAGGCAGGGCGATTGCGGTACTGAGGGCGAGGAGGGAGGTTAGGGTGATGAGTGTGAAACGCATTTTTGGATGTGGTAATTAGTTTGATTGGTTGGAAGCGAATAGATGAATTGAAGAGTTTAACGAAAGTGTTTTGTAGAATGGGAAAGATAGTCTGGTAGTAGTTGGTTGATGTGTTGATGATGAGATATTTCCACTGGTAATCAAGAGTGTTCTTATACAATCTTTCTTCTCGACACCTACACCCGCATCTTTCCTCTATCCTTTCCTTCTTATCCAGCTCCGTTCACTTGAATCCTCCGACTTACCCCCCCCTCTATCCACTCATAGTGTTCTTCTCTTTATTTTTCCACCTCAGAATATGCACGATTTTTTACTTTCCATGTTCCAGGCATACATGCTAAGCAAACGCCCCCACACCCATGCGAAGATCATACACAACCTTAAATCCCACAAGAATTCTCCGTGTGGCTCGGCTTAAGGGGCCGGTGTATGTGCAAGAAAAGAGGGATCGATTGCAAGGGTTTACTCGCTTCTTACGACGATGGATGTTGTTGTTCGCGGGGTAGATATTTGCTTTTTTCTTCGGAAATGACAGGATGGCGCCGTCTTTCTCTTGCCTGATTGGGAAAGTAGGATGGAGGAGGCTGGGTGCTGCGGCTGCTAAGCTCAAATTTTTGTGGGTACGTGGGAAAAGTAAAGATATCGGTTGCTATATGTGGAAATTAGATACGATCGAGTGGGTTGCGGTTGTGGGGGATCGACACGCAAGCACATGGGTGAAAGGTCAAAGAAAGCGGGTTGTTAGATTTATCGGTGTGTACAGGATGGGAATTTTCGGACTAAGAATAGAATTAAGATGTGCATCGCATGGGGGCTTTCGAAGAGCCTAGTGTGATTGGAGAGGCGAGAAGAAGCAACCCATAACGGAGAATTCTACGAATCTGAGTGGCACCGAGTGGCTTTGCAAGCGTCCGAGTGGCATTGCTTGGTAAGCTCGCAGTGATTGACATTGAACTAAGGAGACAAAGAGATTGACAAGGGGAGCGCAAAGTCAGGATGTTGTCTTTTTCGTCTACGTAAGTACGTTACAGAAAGTCTTAAACCCAAGCACACACGCTCACACCTACAACTCCCCCTCCAACGCAACCTCTCTTTCCTCCGCACAAACCCTACACCAAAAATGCGCCTTTGTTGTCTTGATCCAAGCACAGACAAAAAGTAGAAGAAGAATTCGTAAAAGCAGTCTAGTGCTTACACACGGGGCCTGCCAAGTGATATAACACTATGCTATAGTCATGACGCCACCAGTGCTAATTATACAATCACCAACACCGCAAGGAAAGCCGCAGCCCATCCAAAAGACGATGTCTGAAGCATGACTCCATAGTTCTTCTCCTCGTCGTCCTTGTTGTCGTCGTTGAGAAAGTCGAAGGTAACGTTCCTAGCAGGCCTCTTTGGCCTCCTGGTCCTGCGCGACCTGGCCTCGACAGTCTTGCTGGGAATAGTAAACCAATCCAGCAGTCCCCCAGACGTGCTTAGGGTTTTTGTTGCGCTGAGCACCTTGCGGGCGACCGTGTGTGTCTTTGACCACGACCCTGAGAGCATGTCTGCGACATCCTTGGGTTGGCCGTCCGTTGTGTTGAGAAGAACTTGGGTGGAGCCTTGCATCAAGGGAAGCTTCTCCACAGATAGCTTGGCGACAGAAGGTGCTTGGGCGGCGGGCTTGTTTGGATCCACAAGCTCAAACACCATCTTGCCGTCCACCATGGTTTTTAGAGACGATGAGATAAGGCCCGGTTGCATAATGCACATGGACGAGGGTGAGTCGCACTTGGTGCCGTTTTTAGATATGACGAGCGTGTAAGTGCCGGGCATCTTCTCTTCGGTGCCGATTCTGACAGCTACGCCATTGTCTGGGGTGGCTGTAAGGCGAAAATGTTAGCACAATGTTTTCTTCCATTCAAACAAAGGAAAGATGCCGACTTACCCTCTGCTACAATGCCATCCTTGATGCTGAGAGCTGCAGCGTTAAATTCCACCGCAAGATCTCCCACAGTCGCAGCCTGTGCGTACTTTTGAAGGCCAGCCAACATAATCGTAAAGTAAAAGGCGTGCATTTTAGCGAAAAAATGTCCGAAGAAAAGATTGGTGTAGTAGGCTAAGAAAGTATGACCGCACAGCAGCTGAATGAATTGAACTGTGAAGAGGATGAGGGATTAAAAAAAGCATGGCAGCAACTTCAATAAATATACCTCGTCTTCATCGTCGTCAAACAGTATAGCCATGATTCGACTAATAATACCAGCGTTTTTCTTCAAGTCAGTACCGCATAGACTGAACTTGCCTGGTGTTGATGAAACAGCATCATAGGCATCACATGACAAAGTGGCCAGATAGACCTTCTCCAGGCCCCTTCCTAGTCACCTACACAGAATAGATTGGCCCTGCATCCATTCACACGCAGCTGCGGCTGTTGATCCCCACGCAAGCCGTTGATTCAAAACAGAGCAAAGCTGTGGGGTAAGAATAAGCAGCAATGCCAATGCCATTAACACTGTAAGCATATAGCCCAAGTTCCGACTAGTAGTATACTAAATACAGCAAAACAACCATCTAGGTATACTAGTTTGAAACTAACGATCTGGTTAAGGCATGTTTGTAACGCGCACAGACGGGTTTGGGGGTTCCAAAATAGAGTGCCGAGACCAAGGCCAAGAACAGCGCACAGGCTTGTTATAGAACGACGAAACCCCGTGACACCTGTAGGTGCTAAGTTCTCTTTGCGACAGAACGACCTTCATGCTTTGCACGTGTTTTCGTCTGGCTAGTTGCTAGTCGCTGCGTGTCACAGTATCGCCGCTTAAAGCCAGCAGAGGCCGTGCGCGACTAATGCTAGACAACTAACGTTAATGCTAAGGTAAGCAGGTGTATACACGCACATCGAGCCAAGTCGTTCTCGAATGCTGTCATGAGTCTGTCATCGTTTGGCATTTTGCAAGTGCCTGGTGGAGAAGCGATGCTGGTCAGACAGGAGCTTGTGAGTGATGCTAAGAGATTTCAGATGTTTCTGGTGTTTATGCTGTTGGCTTGGTACCTCTTTCGTCGAAACTATGGCATTCACTTGGCATCTTGCATCGTCTGATGCTCTTTTGCTCCCAGTATGCATCGTTCAGAATGTATAAAGATGAGGTGTTGCACACGAGTTGGAAATCATCGCATCATCAGCATTCGATCCCACCATCACTTTCATTCCATCGGTCTCGCAGGTTGAAGATCATTCATTTCTTTCTTCAATTCAACACTCCAAGCCGGTCTTTCTTTCCCCAACACTTTCATCTCCATCTCTTTCAGCTCTAACCAGTCCTTTCCTCAAACCATTCAACATGCATCCTTCTACCATTGCAGCCATTCTGGCATTCACTGCTGGCATGACTGTGAATGCCGTGCCTGTTGTTCGCCCGGAAGGCACTCCTGAGCCTCCAGCTGATAGGCTCCGAACAACCGTTGGGCATACTCAAGCTCGGCCTCAGCTGTAAGTCTTCCTACTAAAAACCGTACCAGACGTTGTACTAACAGCATCAGGAGCGAACTTGCCGAAGACGAATTTACTATCCCTTCAATTGGGAAGAGAGACCATCCGATCAGGCCTTTGCCTGCCTGTAATGATAGTTCCGAACCATCCATTGGAATACTCTGCATGAGCTCAGACCTTGAGGAACTGATCAATCGCCCCTCCAACGGCATTGGCCGTCCCAGTGTTCTCGGCCCACAAGTTACCAAAAGAGACCCTCAGCGTTTTGCTGATGTGGATGATGGCCGCGTCGATCTCGGCATCCTGGTCCCTCCAACTCTCGAAGAATTGCTAGAGAGGAAGAAACAAGCCGGTTTTAGTAAGGAGAAGAGGCAATCAGGACGTCCAATCCGCCTTGTTGAGCCTTCAGGCGAAAGTACAGTGACCCCCGAGGAGCTCGAACAAATAGTGAACAATTACAAACAATTCCGCAAAGAATTCGGCGGCGTTGGCGCAAAGGAAAAGCGCAAAGCTCAGGTCATCGATGCCGGCTTTGGATTCGATGCCGGAGTCACTATTGATCCTTCTGCGCTTACTGGTAGACTCAAGCAGTTGATTCCTGGTCAGAAGGAGAAGAGAGACAATGGAAGATTCATAAATAAGGAGCCTGGCCGCCTTGGGTGGGATCCCATTCCCACCATTGGTGACGAGGTCCTTCGGGGGGCCCAGAATCAGAAGAGAGACCTTTCACGAGTCGTCGACAATGTAGTCGGCCGCATTGCGCCTGTCGTTCCTGGCGGCGTCAAGCAATTCATCCCTGGTCACAAGGAGAAGCGTGATCCTCAGGTTATCGACGCTGGGTTTGGTTTTGACGCTGGAGTTACCATCGACCCTTCTACTATCGCCGATAAAGTCAAGCAGTTCATCCCCGGCCAGAAGGAGAGGCGCGATCCTCAAGTCATCGACGCTGGCTTCGGATTCGACGCCGGTATCACCATCGATCCCTCCACCATCACCGATAAACTCACGCAATTCATCCCCGGCCAAAAGGAAAAGCGCGACGACATGGGCGCTGACTTTGGCTTCGGCGCCACCCCCGATTCCCTTGTTCTACCCGTGCGGAGGCCAAGTCAGAAAGTCACGCGCGACGCCCAGATCGACGCTGGCGTTGGCTTCAACGCTGGTATCACTATCGATCCTATTGCGCTGCCTGGTCACATCAAGAAACTCCTTCCGATCCAGAGGACTAAGCGCGATCCTCAGGGCCGCGGAAAGGGACATGTTTTTGGTAAAATCGCAGAGGGAGTCGCGGGGGGTATTGGCGCTATTGCTGATGGGCTTACTATTCACCAGGCGCTTCAGGGCAAGCCGGCTTAGATAGTTGGTTTGGGGGCAAGGCGGGACTTAGGAGGGAGGTAGAAAGCGAGGTTACGATTTGCATGGGTGCTAGGCGCATCTTCTTTATGATGAAATGTCTTTCGTTTTATGAGGTTTTTTGTAGCGATAGATGTGCGAGCAATTACATTCGTTTGATGGTATGACAATGTGTTTTTGATGCTTGAGTGATGATGGAGTAAGATGTGATATGGCATGTAGCTAAACTCGCAGTTTCCTGTCTTAGCAATATACTACACTTTGAAAAATATAACACAAACACTACAAATACACATACCTACTTCCACATCTCCTCTATCAACCAACCCACCCACCCACTATTGTAGTATCCAAGGCACACAAGGCAACCAACCCCAAGCTCCCCGCACCCAACCGTTCCCACAACAGCCACCCGGAAAC